GCACATCCCTGGTGCTCTCCGTGCTGGCGATGAGCTCCTGGGGGAGCGTCTGGGGGAGAATTGGCCTCCAGCTACTGAGCCGCAGAGCTGCCCTGGTGCAGCCCCGGCAGGGCAGGCACGGCCCTGGGGGCTCTGGAGGTTGGCAGCAATGCACAGTTGTGTGTTCGAGGAGGAAATGCCTGTAGTAGTTCGCGTTGCCTTCAGAGGCAAAGATCACCTGTACAGCCCTGAGAACACAGGTGTGTTCAGGTGGAGGCACAGTGCAGTTCTCTGTGCAGATGGATAACTGTTGTGTGTTTTGGTGAGTTTGTAGGGGTGGGGGATCAGCTGCAGGAGCAGCCAGCTGAGGCTGCAGGCCTGGGCATCCTCTTGTAGCTCTAAGTTTGATGTTCACGTAGAGGTACTCCCCGAATTTCCACTTGAGTTCCAGTTTTTGTAGGTGCTGTGATATATCATTGGTTGTGCAGTGAACATATCTTGCTTTGTGTCTTAAATACTGTGTTATTTTAAGCTGAAATGGGAAGCAGATCTGAAGAACTGAGTTTATTCCCTCAGGGTCTGTTGGCAGGCCATGAAGGTACAGGTGAAACACACTTTGCAGGGGTGAGGGGAGGTATCCCCAGCCCTTTGGGAGTCTCCAGTCCAGACTGCCTGGTGATAGCTGTTAAGTGAAGGCCTGGACTCTCCTCCTCACTGCCAATCCTCTGCAATTAGTGTGTTGCTTGACGCTCCTGCTCTCGGGAGATGCTGTGGCAGTTTCTGTGAGGCTTCCTGTCGATGAGGGAAGGTGTCTCTCACTGCCTGCTCCCCTAAAGCAGTCCCACAGAAGCAGCTGTTTCAAAATAGGTTGGCACTATAGGATAGATCTGGGTTAAGAAGATCCCACTGGATCTACGGATTTCACTTCAGAAATAATTCAGATTGCTCAGGAATCCTTTCTGCTTTTCTAAAAGATACAGTTAAGATTCAGCATCAGATTTTTATAAAAAATTATATGAGGTGGATAAGCAGCAGCCCTAGCCATAGGATGCGTTTGCTGGATGCTTTTCAGTGGGTGCAGCACATTGTGCACCTTCAGCTGAGGCAGGTAATGTGTTCTCTCTCCCTGGTGTTAAGTGCTGTTTGCAGTGGTTTCTCGTGTGTTGCTCCCGTTGTCTGGAGTTCTGAACATTCACAAGTGTTAATGACTGAATTAGAGGAGTTTCCCAAGTGCTTCCATGAGGGTGTGGAGGGAGTTTCCACCTTGTAGAAACTCTGCTGAATCTTTTCTTGTCACTAGATCTAGTGACAGTTACTTTGTTGAAGCCTAAACCAGAAAATTGGGGTGAAGAGTAACAGTGGTGATAAGAAATTCAGGGTGTTGGAAGTTGCCCTCTAGTAGTCATTTGTCATTTTGCTGGGTGGAGAGGATATTTTGTACAAAAATGACTTGTGATTAGGCTTGGGAGACTGATTAAGGAGTTGACAAGTGGCTGTGAGGTACTTGGGGGTCATTAGTTACTTAGTGTGAACTCTGCTGCTTTCAGGTGTTGACAGAAGAAACGGTGAGTTCAGATTCTCCTTTCCCCATCGTTGTCATGTTAAAAAAAGGGGTTTGTGCCCTTATAGCTCTGGGAGATCCTGCCCAGCAGAGACTGTAACCTGCTGGGGTAGTGCTGGGCTGCATTGCTGATGGTCTCAGGAAAAACAAGAGGCACTTTAAAAAAAAAATAAAATATCTGAAACAACAACCACTAAAATCTCCCAAACAAGCAAAAACGGCCCCTAACCAAAGAAGGGACAATGATGGAGTGACAAGAATAGTCTGTGTTTCAGCTCTTCGGTTCTGGAGCAAGGGAAGATCTGGTGCTGAGGTTTCTCTTACGCTGTCATTGTTGAAATGCTTTGAAGCACCACCTTTTTGTTTTTTCCCCTCTCAGTTTTGGTCACTGTGGTTAAAATACAGAGAGGTATTTCTCACCACAGTGAGAGAAACCACAAAAGATTTCAGTTTCCAGTTTTTCCCCCAGGTAGGGTGTAGCTTTCTGTTTGAGATAAGTTTGCTGCCTACTGATAATGTTTACAATGTTAATTTCTAACTATGCTGACATGACTTCTGTCAGTTCTTGGTGTTTATTTTAAACATGCTGCTTCTAGTTAGGTGCTTGCTGCCTTTATCTGAGCATATTTATTTGTTTGCCTTTTAGCCTGGCACGATAAACAGGAGTGAGAATCTCCATGTGAGTAGTAGCTTGTATTGGGATGAATGAGATCCTGTCTGAATCAATCTCTCCCCTGGTGTGAGGAGCACCTGGTGGTGCCTGTGGTGAGAACTGGGGCTCTGCCAGGACCCTTATTTTTAACTGCAGATCAAAGGGGTTTGTCACTGATGTGGTACTTTGGAGTTTTTGCTCTCTGTACTCAAGTGAGCTGGGCCACTGTGTGTTTTCTATATGACCTGCATGGCCATAGCAGGTTTTAGAAGACTGAACCAAAACACTCCAGGGAAATGTCAGTGGTATCCACTGAGGCTGTTGCTCATGGGTTGGAGTGTGGAGGTGAGAGCTCCTCACAAGCAGGACCTGGTCCCCTCCACGAAGGGCTCTGTGTGCACCGAGAGGATGTCGCTGGGGATTTTCCACAGTCCTGGCTGAATTGTGGATTTATCCAGGCTGTGTAACTGCCTCAATAGTCTGATGGTGTTCTTCCCTCATTCTTACCACGTTAGGAAGTTCCTTTTGCCCTTTCGTATGGTCTGTTGGCCTTCAGCTGTGAAATGACACTTTTTCTGGGGCCATAAACGTAGGAGTGGAAGGACCTGCCCCAGTGACGGTGCAGGAAGCTGTTGGTGAGAGGACTGGACTGTGTCATGTGTCCTGCCCTCCCATCTGCTGGGGCCGGCAGTGAACCTGTGGCAGGAGGAAGCTGTGGCCTTGCTGAGCAGGATCCAGGCACGGAGCCTGCTCTGCCCCCTGCCAGGCCACTCTTCACTCCCTCACCCCAGGGCTCTGGGCAGGGCTGGAGGCATCAGCCACAGCTGGGCTGTCACCTCAGCCCTTCAGGGCAGACCTTGCACAGCACTTTGGGACACAGATGTGCTGACTCGATTGTTCACGTCAGGTGGATGAGCAAGTAGTTTGTTGAGCTCCGTTCTCCTTTAGAGTTGATGCTTTTTCCTCGTGTGTCCTGTTCTTTCCTATGAAAAGACACATACTCTGCGAGGTGCAGAGCATTTTGTGCCAGATGACAGTGAAAGAACATTCACTTTGCTGTGCAGATTTCCCCTGGGCACTCAGTGGTGTCTCAGTGGTCCTTGGTGGCTCGGGAGCTCTTCCCAACTGGTGCTGTGGTTGTAGCATCTTGCTGGAGTAGCTGGGAGCAGGTCAGGTGTGACGGCCCAGGGACATTTGACGCAGAACCTGTGGGAGTGGCTGTAACGGGAGATTTGTCACAAGTACCAGAGCTGAGTTTGAAGGCTGCTGCAAAGGGTGAGATGTTTTCCTTCCACGCTGTCAGGGGATGAGCAGGCCCATCCAGACTGTCTCCTGACGTTCTGGAAAACAGCTGAAAAGTGATTGGAAGCAGTGTGTGCTTGGGTGTAGCAAGAAGAACTTCAGGGTGTGATGGTCTTGCTCTCTCCTGCCGTGGTCCTTGTTCCAGGTGGCTCCTAACGTGCTCTCTTGAATTCTGTAGGCACTGGGGAGAGCGGGAAAAGCACATTCATTAAGCAGATGCGTATAATTCATGGCTCAGGCTACTCTGAAGAGGACAAGAAAGGCTTCACCAAGCTGGTGTACCAAAACATCTTCACTGCCATGCAGTCTATGATCAGAGCCATGGAAACCCTGAAGATTCTGTACAAGTATGAGCAGAACAAGGTAAGTTTCTCACAGTTTTGGCACATGTCTTCAGGCTGTGAGGATTCTAGGGTTTGTTTTACAAGTTCCTGTTGCTGTCTCTCTACATTGCAACCTCAGCCTCCCTGAACTCTTTTCCATTAACTTGTTAAAACGTTTTCTCCATACCTGACTCCGTGTACTGGGTTGTGTTACGGGATGGAACAACTTTGGGTGGTGCATTGGTCTGGGTAGTGAGGATTGAGATACACATGGGTGGAGAAGAGGTGTTACTTTTACTCATTTTAAGGACTCAGGATTGTTAAATGTGTTGGGCTTTTCTTTGCCTGAGTTACTAGTCATATCCGGACTTGAAGTTGGCAGAATACATGCTGGACCCAGAAGATCCTTGTGCTGGTAGTTCTCTCTGCTCCTGCAATCCTTCTTGAAGGATCTTGGTCTCAACCACAGAAATGTGATCTGAGCTGAAATCTGGCTTACTGATTTTTGAGTCCAGGAATAAATTTTTTCAGCCAGGTCTGGTCTAAATTAATTTAGGCTTTTTAGGGATGAGGACAATGAGGATGAAGGTGTGCCAGGAAATTAGATGCCCCTTTTTTTGTGTATAGTTTGCTTCTTTTGATGCTTAGTATACTCAATATTTTGAAGTGATTGTAGGCTGGGCACTGTTATTTCTTGCCCCTGCTGCTGACACAGCCCTCACAGCCCCCAGGGTGGGTGTTTTGACTTCTTTTCTTCTTCTTTTCACCCTCCAGGCCAATGCAGTGCTGATCCGAGAAGTGGATGTAGAAAAGGTCATGACATTTGAGCAGCCATATGTAAGTGCAATTAAAACATTGTGGAATGACCCTGGAATACAAGAGTGTTATGACAGGAGAAGAGAATATCAGCTTTCTGACTCAGCTAAATAGTAAGTATATAATCCCTGGCGTGCACTGGTAGGTGGGAGTGATGGCCTAACAAATTATACCTCTCCATTTTTATTTTCCTTTATTGAAGTCTAGAGTTTGTTTCCTTACCATGTGGTACTTTTCATGAGGGTATGAGATGTTCTGGTGGGTGTTACAGGCAGTTGTTCACACATCTGCTTCTGGATGCACCTGAGGCCAGAAACTCTGCCTTGTGCCATGTATGTTGGTCATTGCTCTTCCTCTTCAGGTTTGGCCTTTGGCCTACAGGTCTACATGGATGTGTAACTTAGACTTGATTCATAATGAATCCATTAAGTTTGGTGTCAAAGGTTCAGTTATAAGTAGAAAACCTCAGATGAGACTTGATTCTGAAACACAAAGCATCCACTTTACTTAAAACTTGCTCTGGAGTGAAGATTGTCTTGCACACTCCTGTCAGAGCTGTGAAGTTGTTCCCCCTCCAGGGGAACTGGCTAATGAATTACCCTTCCCCAAAGATATATTCTGGTATTTCTCCACATCATATTTGATGATTTGATGATTGATGTGTCTTCTGACTTGTTATGCTACAGAAATACAGATGTCAAAGCTGCTACATTTAGTCTATTTATGTGCTGCAACCTAAGGTAGGTTTTTGTTTTTTCCACTGTCCTTTCTGTAGCTATCTCAGCGACGTGGATCGTATCGCTACCCCGGGATATCTACCAACTCAGCAAGATGTGCTACGGGTTAGAGTTCCTACAACTGGTATCATAGAGTACCCCTTTGACCTAGAGAATATTATCTTCAGGTACTGAAGGTGTATTCATGTTACAGCTGAACTGAGAGAGCAGTGATATGGTTTCAGGAAGGATAAGTTCTGCATTGCTTGGCTGAGAAGCTTGAGTGGATGTGTGTGCTGTGGAAGTATCTGCTGACAGGTGCTTCTCTAGTGGGGATGGTGGAACCTTTTGACTGTCAGAAAACAGAACCTGCTTTGGAATCAGTGGCACTTAAACCCAGCAAACCATCATGCAGTATTTGGTGTCCTTCCTGGGAAGGATTGCATTGCTGGTGTCCCAGGCTGCAGCTGTGGCTCGAGGCAGCTGAGTGTTGGTAGCTGAAGCCACCAAGGGCTGGCACAGCTGGTGCAGAAATACCTCCTTCTGGGTCACACCTGGCACCTGCCTTGGGGGATGGTTTTCTGTGCCTGCCTTGTGCTTCAGGATGACACTTTGGAGGCTTCAGCCAGCAGTCAAGCCTGGAGTGAAGGGCACACCTATGTTCTCTCTGGTACTGTACTCCCTGCCCTTCCCTGCTGCAATGTGGCAGTGCCAGAGAGGAATAAAACCTGCAGCTTCTCTTGGACCATCTGGTTACAGAGGTGCAGAAAGTTCCTCTTCTTGTGCTTTGCTGACCTGTGGAACAGGTGTGGAATTTGATGCAAGGTGAACCACAGATGTGGCACTTGGGACAAGCGACAAAATGATTTTAATGTACTGTGCAGGTGGGACCTGAAACTGAGGAGCTGAAACATGTGCTAAACAAAAGTGTAAACTAAAGAAGCTGTTGGTGTGAGAGAAGCTTTGAGGCAAGCAGGTGCTTTAGTAGGAAATAAGAGTTTGCTCGTTTGACAGAGCAGTTTTGAAAGGCTCATCTGCTCAGACTCTGCTGCAGAGCAGAATGCAACAGGAGATGGTAGTGCTGGTGTCTGGGGGCTGAGTTCGGTATCACTTGTCTATTCGTTCAGTTTGGTATGTTTCTGGAGCAGGATATTTTGTAAACTTGGTAGTTTTGTTGGCAAGCAGATACCATCAGACCCCTGTGCCAGGCTAACTGGAACAGCAGGGAACAGAGTTCATTCTCTGTGTGCTGCTCCTTTGCATTCAGACAGAGAATTGCAGCTGCCTCTGTGATTCTGTATGTACTTCTCTCCCTTAGAATGGTGGATGTTGGAGGGCAGAGATCAGAACGAAGGAAGTGGATCCATTGCTTTGAAAATGTGACTTCCATCATGTTTTTAGTAGCACTTAGTGAATATGACCAAGTTCTGGTGGAATCGGATAATGAGGTAAGTCAAAGAATGGGAACATTGACACTGGCCCAGGTTGCCCAGGGAGGCTGTGGCTGCCCCAGCCCTGGCAGTGCTCGAGACAAGGTTGGATGAGCCTTGAGCAACCCTAGTGAGGTGGTGTCCCTGCCCAGGGCAGGAGTTGGGGCTGGATGATCTGTAAGGTCCATTCCACCCCTAAATTCTGTGATTCTATGAACTCTGCAGCAGGGTGGAAGGAAAGGAGGAACATCTTTCTAGCTTCTTGAAGGCTGATACCCAAGTGCTTGGTGCCAAGTTGGATTAGCGACTATTGTTGCGTTTGGCCTTCAGTTCTTGTTGCAAAGGGAACATGATGTCCCCGAGGATGGAAAATGCAGAGGGTAATCAAATCATCTGTACTTCTCGGGAGGAGCAGAAATAGTCTGAGGTTGTCCCGTGTGCTGTGGAGGGCACTGAGCAAGGGGGAGAGCTGCTCACACATCCCCTGTCCCAATTCCTGCACCCTGGTACTCTGGCTGTGCCTCTGTCTCATCAGGTGGAATCCTTGAAGGTGCAAGTCTGAATTTTGGCCCTTGCTGATAGATAAAAAAAGGTGCCATTAGGTAGTTCCTCCTTTCCTACTAGGCAAAACATGTTCAAAAAGTCTCGTTGGCCAGTCCTCTCACATGACTTCTGAGTCCCTTGATAGGAATGGCTTGGCAATTAAATGAAGCTCGAGCCCATCAGATTTTGCATTTCCTTTCCATTTACTAATGCAGCTTGAGGCAGAGCCTACCTGGGGCCAAAGTGTTCTGGGTAGTGCTGAGATGCTGATTCACAGCTGGTCAGAGCATGTGCAGGAGCAGAAAGGCCTCGGAGAGCTCCCTGTGGGAACAAGACTCTCTTTTTCCTCCTTGCAGAACCGGATGGAGGAGAGTAAAGCTCTCTTCAGAACCATTATAACTTACCCGTGGTTCCAAAACTCTTCTGTCATCCTCTTTCTCAACAAGAAGGATCTGTTGGAAGACAAGATCCTGTATTCCCACCTCGTTGACTATTTCCCAGAGTTTGATGGTGAGTGCTTTGTTTTTGAGGAGGAACACTCTCTGTCTACAGTAAGTGGGGGAGGTGGTTTGGTTAGGACTTTTTAAAGAAAACTCAGACCTAGAAACGGGGGAAAACATTTTAATTTGAGGAAGAATGCCTACAACAATGAGAAAACATCACAAAAATGTCCTAATCACACATAGGCAACTGGAATGTGATTGAATGATCTAATAACCTCTCTGAGATGAAGAGTTACTCCCTCCAATGTGCCCTGCAAAGTATTAAATAATGAAACTCTAACTTTTTACTCCCTGTGTGTTTGTGCATATAACCAGTTTCATAAACATGGCAATTTACTGGTGTTCTGGACCTTTTCACCCTCTCATCACGAGGTGACTTGTCTTTGTTTTGAGAAGCTAACTGGTCAGATACCCAAGTTGTTCAAGTGGTGGTACTGAAAAAGCTCAGGCAGCAGGAAGTCGTTGCTGGCATGCCATCTGCTGTTGTGGGGAAATAGTATCTAGTGAGACAGAGAAATACTCATCTGAAGCAAAATTCCTTAGCCAAAATAGTACTGCAGGCTCTGCAGCTGTGTGAGTTAGAGCTGGGTGCTAACACATCTGTAGAGGGCTGAAAGGGAATAGTGGAGGAGGAGATCAGGCAGCTCCATCAGGGCTGTGACCAGGAGGTTTCCCATCAGAACTCTTCTCAAGAGCTGATATTTGCCATGGGGAATGTGGCAACAGCAGCTGCGTGAAAGAAATACCAGTAGGTGACTATTTCCTAGGGAGCTGTCAGCAATATAAAGTGAAAACTGGCAGAAATTCCATTTTTTAGCTCCTGTGAGTGACCAGTCAGGACAGACTGCACTTCTGGCTGAGGTTAACCCTTGTTCCCAAAACATTTCCTTGTGTCCTTCAGTCTGTAATACCCATCTGTGTATTAGAAGTGTCCATCCCATCTCCAGTCTGTAATACCCATCTGTGTATTAGGAAGAAGTGTCCATCCCATCTTGGTGGGAGATGAGTGTGTTGTGTGTATCAGTGTCTGTCTCTGTTTCCCAGTGGGTGTTCCCACCCAGGCTGGTACCAAGGTGTGGATTCCTGAGCTCAGCCTGAACTTATCCCTTGGGAAATACCTTTGTGGGCTTTGGTACACAGCTAAGAGCATGAGACACTTCAGCTCCTGAGACTTGTCTAGAATAAATGGTCTTAATTTCTCTGTAGCTCTGTAACACATGAAAAACAGTGTCAGTTATTGTGGTGGATCAGCCCTGGGGCTGTGTCAGGCTGAACCCACTCACGGTGTCTCTGTTTGCTGCAGGCCCCCAGAGGGATGCCCAGGCAGCCCGTGAGTTCATCCTCAAGATGTTTGTGGATTTAAATCCCGACAGCGATAAAATCATCTATTCCCATTTCACATGTGCCACAGACACAGAAAACATCCGATTCGTCTTTGCAGCTGTCAAGGACACCATCCTACAGCTCAACCTGAAGGAGTACAACCTGGTTTGACCTGCTCTGCTCTTGCCCCTTGAGAGGCTTCTTTGTGAAGAAAAGACAAAAAAAGAAATTTTAAATATGACAGGAAAAAAAAAAGTTTTAATTTTCGATGATGTAATGATTGCAAAATTGTCTGATCTGTGGAGTGGCAAGTGCTCAGTGTTATCCTGGAGTCTCATGTCTCTGTCCACAGAGTAGTTGATTCATATTTTTAACAGATTGCTTTATTTCACAGTTAACGGGGATATGCCTCATTCCTTCAGCACCTTGCTTACTTCTTAATTTTTGCCAAGCAGCTAAGGCAGCCTCATCTTGATCTTTCCTTTGTTGCTTAGACACTTTTTTTTTTCCCTCCCCTTTCATTCCCGTGGTATATATAGAGAAAAACCCCAACACTTTCCAGCTGAGGTGGTGAATTCACTGGACTGTGGGAGTGCAGAAAGCTACTGGTCCCTTTGCCTTGTGCCATAGGGTGCCTCTGGTGTAATTTGCTGATCCTGCTTGCTTCCCCTCCTTCTCTCCCTTCCCTTCCCCAGGACACGCTCCATGGTTCACTGTGATGAAACGTTGGGGAGGAGCGATTGCTCTCCAACTATTGTGCAAAAAAAAGGCAAAACAAAAAGGAAAAAAAAACACACAAAAAAAAAAGCCATCACTTTTTTCCATTCTTTATATGTTCTGAGTTATTTTTTTCTTATCAATTATAAAAGGTATGGAGACTGTGATTTTTTTTTTTTTAAATTATTGATGTTCTATACATAGTTTGCTATGTGTTGCTGTATTTTGTTCATGGACTACAGATGATGGAAGCTCTCGGAGCAATAGCTGCTGAGCCTGGGGAAGTGCCTGACTGTAATTGTTCTTTTTTTTTTTAATTTCATTCTAGTTTGGTTTTGTTTGCCTCACACACATCCCCCACACACCACGAGTGGCTGTGCATGCACAGGGCTCAGTTTGCAGAGAGAAACTGTGTTGAGCAGAGTATGGGACATGAGTGAGCAACTTCTCTGTGCAGCAGTTCCCAAAGGCACACGGACTCTGTGGTCTTTGGACATCACACTGTGGCTGGGGTGAAAACCTAAGTCTTGTGCCATCCTCTAAGGCCTTTTCTGGCTGCTAGCAGCAAACAAGCCTTGTTTATTGCTTTGTGTGCCAGTGTGTGAGGACTTTGTAGGAGTTCTCAGTCCTGTCCAGCCTGCAGAGTTTAGAGAGGACCAGAGCTGGTAGGTGACAGACTTTGGGACACCAAAGGTTCTTAGGTGAGGAGACTGAGGAGAGCTCTTGGGGGAGCAGCAGTTCTCTCTCCTGTTTAAGCATTCCCAGAGGCACAGGCGGCTGTGTTCCTCTTTGGAGGAGTGTGACCCTCTTTGGGAGACTGGCACACACACCAGCTCCAGGGCTGTGCCAAGTGAGTTGGCTCAGTGGGAGAGGCAGCAGCTCCTGCTGGTGCAGGTGGAGAGCAGAGTGGAGGTAGTTCTGGGTCCTAGATGCCACCGGAATCTCCACGAAGCAGAAGGCCCTGATGCCTTTGCACCTAAGAGAGTTTTTCCAGGAGCTGAGGCAGGGGAACAAACGTGCCAAAAGCTGTTGCCAGCCTGGAAGGGAAGTGCAGGGGCAAGGCAGGGAGTGAGTAGGAAGTGTGGAGATCTGACCACGTCTGGATGTGTGTCATTTAGCTGTGAGTGATGCTCCTGTTCCAATTCCAATGAGTAGCACTGGGTCCAAACCCTCTGGCTCAGCCAGATTGCCCCGGAAGGAGAGCAGACTGCGCTGGGAAGCGGCTGCAGGGGCTGCTGATATTTTGTCTCTTTTGTAGACAGAGCACTACATCAGTGTTTGCACAACATGGAAGAATAAACTTAATTGTCTGAGATGCTTGAGATGCTTTGATCTAGAACACTAAAGGATGGAGGGATGAAATTTGGAGTAGTTCTGTTGTAGGTCCCTCTTGTTTTCTGGAGTAGCTGAGGGAAGGCTCTGTGTGCCTCAGAGCACTCCAGAAGAAAGCAAACTCTGCTCCAAGTGGTTAGAGAGCTCAAGGTGGAACAGTAGCCATGGGACCAAGAGTTGAAGAGCCAGTCTGGCCGAGGGGTGATGCTGAGGGAAACAGAGCATCTCTTTAGATGCCTGTAACCCTTGGCAGGAGTGAGAGGGATGCCCATGTGTCAGACAGCTTTGCATCCATTTTACTGCTTAATTTTTTAATTTTTTTTTCATCTTTATGCCAAAATGATCCGTTTTGTAGAAACTGTCCTATAAGGAGGGATTTATAATCATCTTCATGTATTCTAAGTGCTGTTCTTCTCGAAGCAGATGGCAGCACCAGCCTCTTCTGCTTCTGTGGTCCTTTTGTAAATGGTTCACACTACAGCTGTGCCAGCCGTGGGCCTGGCACTGAGATAACACAGGTTCTTGGAAATAACTTCTCAGAAGTTTGTTTTCTTTCCAAGGTGAATGATGGTGGTCCTTCCACTTGAATCAGAAACTTTGTCTTGTTTTGTACCCTCCCCTTCTTTAAGAGCTGCTGCCCTGGCACAGGAGGAGGATCTTGGCTTCAGTCTCTCGCAGAGTGACTCTGCATCCTTGTGGGCAACTGTGGGAGGCTTCGGGCACAAGGATTTGGGAATGTGCTGTACCTTACCAAGCACCTGCTTGGTGTAGCTGCTGGCCTGGCTCGGTGTGCTGCCCCTTGGGAAGGGAAGGGCAGAGCATTGCACAGTTCTGAAACCTCATTCTGGACTGGGGCAGGAGTGGGTCAGACCTGTACACATCGTCTGGAGCTGTCTGTGACTGTCCTGTGTGAGGAGATAGCAGTGTTAGCTTGTGCTCTCTTAGTAAGCTGTAGCTTGTGTGCCTCCAGCTTGGCCAGCAGAGCTTTGCTGCAGGACTGGCTGCTGTCTCTGCTGGCTGGCAAATGCCTGCCCTTGCAAAAGTGCCAAACCTTAAACCAAATCTGCCTGTGTCATCTTTCCTGAACGTGAGGCCAGTCAGAATTTTCTGCAGGTCGAGACGACAGACTGACCTTCAGAAAAGAGGTGACACTGCGTCCTGGTAGGGAATCTGGAGCCTGAGGAAGTGATCTGGCTAACCTCTGCTCCTTGTGCACTTTTAATCTTTGTTCTGCTGAAGAAGCCAACACACTTTGAACCAGTCTGAAACTTGAAGTCAGTGAGGAGAGGACCATCCTGTTTCCTTGCACCATTCCATGTGGATTGGCTACCTGGTGAGCAAAAGCTCCTTCCTGCTGCAGCGTGTCAGATAGCTCCTGCCCCTCCTGCCTCCCCTTCTCCAGTTGGATTCCTTGGTCTCTTGTTGTTGCTTCCTAGCAATGTTGGCCTTGCGTTCAACTATGGTTTTTCTTCATGTGTTTTATTGGTTTAAAAAAAAAAAAACCAACAAAAAAAAAACCTTCCAGAGTGTGCTGACCATTGTATTGTCCTGTACAGAGCCCAGGTCGTTAGAGTCCAGCAGAGATAAAGTGTGTTATGCAGCACCCCAGTTTTTTTAAGAGTTTTAATGGTTTGTGCCAATGCCCCTTCTTTAGTAGTGCCAGAGACTCTTTACAAGTGCCAATGTGGTGGAAATTATTTGGTTATACTTGTATATTATAGGATCCTGATTTAAGACAATTTAAACATTATCCTATTTAAAAAGATACTATATAAAATGCTGTTTTTAAACCTTGTCATTTGCAATGCATGTATTGTTGTGCGTGTTGGGGTGGGGGGAGGGAAGAGGGTTGGGTAAAGGAGTTTCTGAATAAGATGCCCAGTGTCAGGATCTATTCAGACTCCAAACTCTCTCATTCCAGTCCAGGAGTGTGATTGTTTCTTGGAATGATCCCACTCTGGCTGCTGGGCAACACCCTTATTACAGAAATATCTGATGGAAATTGATTTTCATATCTTTCTCCTGAAATAAACTCTCTGTTTGAAATTGGAATAAATTTTGTTCCTAAAAGTCGTGGTGGTTGTGCATAACGTTTCTTCATTCCTCTCCTTGCTCTCCCTGCCCTGGTTGGCTCAGCAAGTTCTGGACCCTGTGGGACCTGCAGCTGCTGGAAGCACATTCTGTCTCCTGCCACGAAGGTGTTACGAGGACTGGAGCATCTCCTCTG